GAACATAGCCAACCTAATACACTCTGGCGTCGAAAAAATTATCCGAGATCAGATACCGTAGCGTCATCTATCGGCATTTGTCACATGTACGTTTGTCCTCTCCGCACTAATTAGAAATCTCGTATATGATGCTATAGCCACATAATATATGCTATATGCTAGTTGGCTACAGTGCCATCTGTGACACTAACCTTTTCAAAGTAGTTTTTAATCAGTGCCGAGAGGAGAACCACAGCTGTGATAAATTAATATAGATGATGCTGACGTATATCTCATTTCATCTCCCATAATTTTTCGGACGTGGGTATATATATATATATATATATATGTATTATTAAGTTGGATATAGATATTAATCCGTTGTTATACTCCGAGGATGCGAGTGGCAGACGACAGGCTACAGGTAACAATAGGTTTATACTGTTCTGTGTCGTCTGCTCGTTGCAGATCGAATAGGGAGCAAAACTGTGTTTCTAAGGATATAGTTCAGATTCTTATACAAGAAAGGAATGCAGTATTCACCCCTAAATAAAGTGCGCCAGCTATATGGCGGACTTTATATGTACAGAGACCTGAGGAACCATTCCGCAAGGTCTTTGAATTTATGCAGGTAGTATTTCACTTTTATTTTAACAAAGATACAAACCAAACTTCACCAAAGAAGATCCTGAAAGATGCTAATAACTCCTTCGGAGAGGAAATAACATGCGAATAATGTCGTGATGTCGTCGTGTGGCATCGCCCGTATCCGTGTCATTTTAAAGACATCGCCGCGGCAGCCTCGTACCGACAACCGCGAACTATGTCAAGTATACTGGTTGCCTGTGCCTCGGAGTATTACCGCGGCATTTGGCCCATCATGATTGAGATCATCAACAAAGCTTCTGGTCCTTAGATGATATCTGCCGTCCTATTCAGAATATGTGTAACGAAGCTTGCTGTCCATTTATATTCGTAGTATTAGTCGTATTTATTGGCCATGTCAATGCAGGAGTATGCCAGGTGTTTGAAATTCGACTCTCACCATTGAGGTCTCGGAAAGTATAAGAGATACGAAGATGGTTAAAAGAGGGCAAAGTTGCGCATTTATTGTAAAAAATTTATTTATAAAGTTTACCTATTCCGAGTATTTCCGGAGATAAATGAAAGAAACCGAATTTTCCCAAAATTATTTTTTGTTAGCTTTATTTGAGGCGGGATTTTAAAATAAGTACATTAACATTGCCACTTTTTCACCTCTACACGATGGCATAATTAGAACTTCAATATGACGTTGGTCTCTTGTAATAGATTATCAGCTTTGTTTTTTCTTATACGCTGAAAATCAAATACCATTGAAACGTATAAAAGAGAGAAGCGCAAGAATCATGCAATGTGTGTTTGAGAGAGATAGAAGCACCTCGTTGCCTAGAAAGCCGAGTGACGAGGCCAAATTTGAACCTCACCCTATATGCCATATTAGATTTCTACACAGGTAAATAGAATGTTCAATTCCGATTCAAATATGTTTCATATGTCATACAGTGAACTCCGATTAACCTAAGTTATTTCGAAAAAAGTAATATTATCATAGTTCGCTACATATGTATTTATCCGGTTAAATTACCATTTGCTTCAATTTCTGAGGAGCGTGTTTACTGTTTACTGTCTTCAATACGACCTTTAAATAAACACAGAAAAAGTTTTAACATCAGGTTCTAATTTGTTCGATGAGTCAAAATCAACTATAGGAAGGTTACGTTACGATTACGAATATCATCCGCTGTCCATCGATTCTCCCTGCCCGCTCTCGGCGCGTGTATTTATCTTCGAGTCGGCGAATCCAGAAGCATTCCAGGCAGAACTCGAACCTTTATCGAAGCTTGATAGACTAGATGGCGTTCGATGTTTCTCGAAGCGAGACGAACATTCGCGATTTGCGTAATTCTAGTTGGCTAAGCGTCGATGCTCTGCAGAGTTCCAGTTACGAGTGCGTAATAATTCATCGACGTTTTGCAAAAATGACCATTGATGGCAAACATCCAGTGGCGGCTCGTGAGGTAGTGCCACGGTGCCATGGCACTACCTTGTCTTCTTCAAAAAGAATATTTTTTTCAATCTTCAATGTTTTACTTTATTTTTTGCTTTTTCATTTTTTTTTGGTATAAATTATATGAAGTGACAACACTGACAACGTGACAACACCGCAAGCAGCCGAACCACGCGACGAGATATAAAGCATGCCTTGACCTTGACGTCATCAACTTGTGCCAATGTCGGGCCGGCCCAAATAAAAAGAGAGAAATTTTACCAGCATCGCATACGAGCGACAGAGATAACGCTACAATACACATTTTTATATGAGGTGAATAGCGAAAGACAAGTATAATTTGTGCCAGGCACATCATCAGTCGTAATTCGTTATCAAATGATATCGGCGGTGTTTTTGTTCGGTCGGTCGTTTCGTTATGATTACGTCTAGTGCTGATTTCGGTCTTTTTTTACCTGAAAAGTGAGAAATAACGTTTTTGTTTTAGTACGTCTAGTGTTAATGAACTGCTCTGTTTTGTGATCATATTTTTTACTGTTTTATTAAAACTAGTGAAAATGAATAAAATCGGGATATTAAAAAACTCATTTAGTGGTTTTTCGCTGGATCAAAAACTGCAAATTAAAGAATTAGGACGGCCAATACCCGATTTAAAAATTGAGAAACAAAGTGGTAGCGGACAAAAATCGCGCTGTCGCAAATTTAATAAAAATGTGTACGATAAAAACAGCTGGATATGTGGTTGTGAAGAAACGAATAAACTATTTTGTTTTGTATGTGTTCTATTTGGAGGTGACGAGACTTGGTCAAAAAAAGGTACAGATGATCTTATACATATATGGGATAAAATGAAGACCCACGAAAAATCTAAAGTCCATATGAATAATGTTTTTAGCTTTTCTATTCTTGGTAAATTAAATATAAGGACTCAACTCAATTCGGCTTATCGCAATGATCTAATTAAACATAATAATCAAGTGGATAAGAATCGATATGTATTGAATAAAATTATTAATTGTATAAGGTTTTGTGGAGCATTTGAGTTAGCCTTAAGGGGTCACGATGAAAAGGAAAATTCGGAAAACAGAGGCATATTTAAGGAGCTGGTGAATTTTAGCGCCGAATTAGACAACGAATTGAAAGTCCATATTCAAAGTGCCAAACTTTTCAAGGGTACCTCAAAAACAACTCAAAACGAGCTTCTTGAGTGCATGCTAGATGTTTATCATGAAGAAGTTAAGAAGGAGATTGCAAATTCTCCTTTTGTTGCAGTAATTGCCGATGAAACGACTGACGTAGCCTGTGAATTTCAGTTAGTTATTATTTTCAGATATTTGTGTAAAGGACAACCAGTTGAGAGATTTTGGAGATTTTACGTCCCCGACGGACACGATGCCAAATCAATCGCTGCATGCGTTTTAAATGTTGTAAATCCATTAATAGATCAAAATCCAAACAAATTAATAGCTCAAAGCTATGATGGTGCGTCTGTTATGAGTGGTGAATTGAATGGCGTTCAAAAGATTATTAAGGAAACTTATCCACTTGCAAATTATGTTCATTGCTATGCACACCAGTTAAATCTAATTATGACAAGCGCATGCTCTGTCAATAAGCAGGCTAGAATATTTTTCCATAATTTATCTGGATTGTGCTCTTTTTTTTCGACGTCTCCTCAAAGAACAAAAATTTTGGATGAAATAGTTAATCGCAGATTGCCAAGATCTTCCCAAACACGTTGGAATTTTCAGTCACGAGGTGTTCATACAGTTTATGAAAATAGGAAAGACCTGATTGAAGTTATGGACAATATAGAAAGTACTTCACGCGATTCTTCGTCGATTAATCAAGCCAGTGGGTACAAATTAAAGCTGCAAGATACAAATTGTGTATTTTGGCTAAGTATATTCCATAAAATAATGCCACATGTTGAAATTGTCTTTAACCAATTACAAAAAGTATGCACCGATTCTGTTAAGGTCAAAAATGATTTAGAGAATTTTGAAGCAGCAATTCAAACTATACGAGAACAAATGGATAGCATTATTGACGAGATTGAACGAGTGCAGAGAGAAACTGATGAACCGGCAAGAAAAAAAAGGCAAGTTGAAGAAGGCAGCAAAAAACGGGAAGCGTTAGAAATATGCGATGCAGTATTATCGCAAATAAGAACAAGATTTAACTTTTCTGGGCATTTAGTTGCTTCTAATTTATTTGTGTCTGAAAAGTTTTCTGTTTATAAACATCAGTTTCCTGAAGCACATTTAAATGACACATGCACACAATTTTCATTTTTAGACAAAAACAGGCTTAAAACTGAGTTACAAGTATTATATCAGAGAGAAGAATTGAGTACTACTTCTGGAGCTGTTCCACTATCCATTTTATTGAACGAGGAAGGATTAAATTGTACGTTTCAAGAAACTCTTAAGCTCTTAAGTATTTTAATCACTATACCGATGTCAACATCTGAAGCAGAACGCTCTTTTTCAATGCTGAAACGGATTAAAACTTTCCTCAGAAACACAATGAAGGAAGAAAGGCTTAGTGCTTTAGGAATGCTGTCTGCAGAAAAACATTTTGTTAGTGGCATTGAAAATTTTAATAATAAGGTAATCGAAAACTTTGCTACCAAAAAAGAAAGAAGAATGGACTTCATGTATAGAAAACTTTGAAGTTATAGGTACTTCTCCACACTTGTTTTATAATTTGGTGCGCGTGTGTAAATAGTTTTATTTTTGATTTTTTTTGGACATATAGATTTATTGAACCTCAAGAACTTTGACCACTAACTATCAGGGGTAAGTTATAAGTTATTCTTTACAATTTTGAATCGATTCAAAATTATGGCTTCCATTCTGGCACTACCTCACTGAATTGGCACGAGCCGCCACTGCAAACATCAATCTTTTTCTACGGAAACAACGATGTATCGTCTGCATCCCTAATTCGAATACGAAAAAGCTTTTGATACAACTTCATAAATATTTTATTAACATAAAGCAGTTTAGATAAATAAGAATATATACGTATATTATATCAATGATATCATGTATTAATACTTATATTTTTCACAGAAACTCTGATGAATATTTTGTTTTCGTGCTTCTCGAAGATGGCACAATACCCTTCGTCAAGGCGCTGTATTCGACTTGTAACTTTTTCAGGGACTTTGATTCATATCCAATATATTCCTTATACACTTCTTGAACCCGTTCCAGTACCTTCACCAGTAAAAATTCCGCATTCTTCAACAAAAAACACTTTTGTTCCTCATTTGGCTCATTCCTCAAAGCATTTTCAATGTACTTTATTTGAGCTTCAAAAACTGTATAAAGTGTATCGTCGATTGTGTGGATTAAATCAGACGTCTGCAATTTGAAACAATCGTGCAGCAATGTGAAAAATGTTTTTGTGAAGGCTAAGGTGCTTGCTGAGATTTGAATCCATGTATCTCCTGTCACATATGAGTCCAGAGGCAAGCCTAAAGCACTGTACTCCTGTAAACACCTAGAAAGAAATAACAAGAACAACAATTCCTATGATCACGCGTTTAAAATGCCGAGTGTCGCATAACAGTTTAACATACATCGAGCAAAACGGAAATAAATAGTCAGAACGTGCTACAATAACTCAAAGGAGGCAACCTTGATGCAAACCAATATTCTGAAGCAAGTAAATACAAATGATGAAGACAAATTTACAATGATTCGGCCCTAAACAAATTCGTTTAGGCCTATTCCGCATTTTACATGATGACCAATGTCTCGTTAGACCTAAAAAGACATGCGATACTGATCGTGGTGCTGTTTCTATAACATACTTTTGTTTATTCAAATATACTTTGATAATTTGCAGATAATGATAGGAGTTGTATCCTTAAAACCGTTTTTGCTGATCGTTCTTTCTCGCACTATCCACCCTTCGTGCGAATCACATGGTTACAAATGGGTCTTTACGCCGTGACTTGATTCTCACCTTGAAATTTGTTGCTTTGAGTGCAAGTTCATAGGTATCCATTTGTCTTCTAGAGCACGCAACTTTATGGAATCGATGAGCTTGTCCCTGGTATCTCTGAGTGCTTTGGTTAGAGGAGACCTCAGGCCTCCATCAAGTTGATAACACAGGTCTACTCCATATGTATACAACCGCTCGCACTGAGTCCTCACAAGAACAACACATTTTGTTATCACAGATAACGGAGTCTGTGGCATAAACACCTGGAAGATAATTGTTTATGTAACACACACAGTTATATATACATGGTGTTTGGTAGATGAACTAACAAATTTTTTTGTGCGTTTGGGGAAGCTATTTGATGATTTTTGATGGAAACCTGAAATAATTCCTGAGCTAGCTATCTCAGGTTAATGGGTACGAAGACGGTGTTACTGCGATATCACTTTATTTGCTAAGGTAGAGGCCGATTTACAACCGATAGTGTACAATTTGAGAAAATTAAAATATCGGTTAAAACAATGTTCGTACGTCCGTCGGGGGCTGAGCGACGATATACGTGCTGCTTCTGCCGAAGCTCATGCCCGTCTCCCCGCGCAACTCATCATCAAGGTTTTACTACGTGCCTTCCGTCGCACTTTGCACTCTTAACACACACTCACACATGGCCGCGCTGTTGCCGAACCTCTTCAAACCGCAATGCTCTAAGGGCCTACGGTTACCGAGATATCATCGCTTTTCGTTTTTTTTGCTGAATTACCTACAATTGAGCATAAATATCGTTATAACTCTTTGTTTTGTTGATAATAACACAAAATAAACGTGAGTCTGTTCTGTAATGTATACTCAATCCGATCAGATAAACAGTTCGTGCAAATCTTCTCAAACAAGACTTATGACCTTCCGGAGTCGTACTATCACGTGGAGTGTATAAATAATTTCAAATTCGAAATTCGATTATAAAAAATTATACCTTTTTTGAAACCTTGTTTAACTTACAAAACTTCTGTGATTTATTGCCTTTCCAACGATATGTTACACATCATAGAACTAATGTCTTGTGCAATCAAAAGAGAGAAAACAGATGGTCGGTTTGTATTAAATTTGAATCAGTTACAAACTCTTCAAAATGCCTACCTCCGCTTGATGAGCACAATAATGTTAGCGAGTGCAGAGCAGTAAAAAGAATGGGTTAGGAATACCTTTTATGCATGGTGATTCGAATCTAATGACATCCGATACCTGGATTAACTATCTCCTGTCTAGCATAATACGCATTAAGGATATACAGGGTGTCTGCGAAAGGTTGGGAGACCTCGAAACTGGAGATACTACAGACCAAAATATGTAAATTGACCTAAAGATACCTTAGTCCAAAAGTTGATAGTTTGCGAGATACAGGGTGTCAAAGTTACAATTTTACAACTTCTAGAGGGCGCCACTTGGGAAATAACTCATCATAACTTTTTTGTGCTACCCTGTATACAACTGACCGAAAAATCTTATTTTCTCGTATTTCCACAACAAAAAAGGTTTACTTGTTAGAAGTGTCTAAAGGTAATTTTCGAGATATTTGTTTTTAAAAGTTCTAATGCATTATTTGTACCATGATGATAAACCCAACTAAAGGACGAAGCTTTTTTTCTCACCTAACTGGTTGTTAGAGGACGATGACCACGTCTCAAGTTGTATATATACAGGGTGTCCGCAAAGTTGGGGTTTTCCTTTACACGACGTGTAGATCTTGAAAACATAAGCAATTTTTCTTAGTACCATATACACCAATGTCTTAAGGGAACCGAGATAAAGGGCTCTGCAACATAAAAAATATCTGAATACCGTTCTGTAGCCGCGACATCCCCGAGTGGTACTAGGACACTAGCTCAACCCGACGACAGAACTGGGTCGGGGTCAGTGTGTCAGGTCAGTATGCAACCTTCAACCGACGGTTACGGTCACGCGTGTAGAGGTAATCGCGTAGAGACGTGGCTAGAGAAGTGCAAGTATCAAAAACTAAAGTGTGGCAAACGCTGCGTGAAAAGGGGCTGTATCCGTTTCACGTCCAACGTGTACAAGCCCTTCAACCTGACGATTGTCCAGCAAGAGTGCGGTTTTGAGAGTGGTTGTTGCATCAACATGACAATAATCCGGACTTTTTGAAGTGCATATTGGTGACAGACGAATCTACGTTCACGCGTAATGGGGTGAATAACTTTCGCAACACTCATGTTTGGTCAGTAGAAAATCCGCACGCTGTCCGTCGGGCATTTTCAACAAACATTTTCGGTGAATGTTTGGGCTGGCATGGTGAACGGTATGCTCATTGGACCATTTATTCTCCCAAATCGATTGGACGGGATGCAATACCTAGACTTTTTACGCAACATTTTGCCTTCCTTGTTTGCCTGCGTCTGCTCGGTAGCGCATCAGCTGATTTCATTTTCTGTTGGAGCGGTATGATTTCGGGCAGAGACGTACTTAGCCCTTCTCGTCAACTGGAGAGTGAGTACTTTTTCCTTTATTTTTTTTACTTGGTCGCCCTCGTTTCACTACACATTACCTTTATTTCAAGGGTAGTTGTTTCTGAAAAGGAAAACCCCAACTTTTCGGACACCCTGTATACAACTTGAGGGTGGCCCATCCATGTGTGGACGGACTATCACTCAGGAACAAATACAATTTGGGAAAATCTATTTATGGGATGTTATACATGACATTTCTGCTCACATTTCTAAAATATTGGCCATTATACAGGGTGTCCCAATTTCGACCTACATATAATAATAATAATGCCTTTATTAGCTGAAGTGAGACGAAGTTTAGCCAGACGGCTACTCTTACACCCTAACCCCACAACAGGAAAAAAAATACTTAAACACATAAACAAAATAATAACATAACAATAAGAATGACAACATTGACTACACGAGACAAATGCAGATAGTAATGAGAGAGTTTTAAATTTGAAACAAAAATAGTAGAAAATAGTCAAACAAAAAAAAGCACATGAACACAAGAAAAACTGAACTAAATGGACTATAGTAGCTGACTTTTCATTAATTTTTAAAAAAGAAGCAACCTGTTTGGATCGATAGCCACTGTTGACTGCATTGTAATGCTTCACAGCATTATAGGTGTAACTTCTTTCAAAGACCGATGTATTGTGAGGAGGCAAGTTAATATTAGCACTAAATCTAAGAGCTCTGGTAACAAAACTACCACGGTGAACTAATTTGCTAGCGAGGTAAGCTGATCTGTTAGATAATAGAACTTTATGCGTGAAGACGGTTAAAAGATATAAAAATAACTTATCAATTCGCAACCAGTTGAGTTCTTTGATTTTATCTGAGACGTGACTAAACTTGCGCAATCCAAAAATAAACCTACAACAGCTGTTCTGAATTTTCTGGAGTTTCCTTTTGTGGACGTAGTCTAAACATGGGTAATAAAGAACAAGAGAATAAGAAATGACAGACATCACAAGACTTTCAGCGAGCTTTTCTCGGGTTTTAAAATTCAGGATGAATCGATTAGAATAGAGGAGTTTCAAACGCATATACGTTACTCTAGATAAGAAAGAGACATGCCGATCGAATCTCATATTTAAGTCAAGGATAACACCGAGATTCTTGGCGTAATCCACAAAACGGATGCGTGTCTCATTCAGAACAACACAAATCCTCTGCTTCATTTCACGGTAGGAGTTCTTCGAACAGTACAACATTGCAGTAGTTTTATTAGGATTGATCTTCAAGCAGTGTTTGTTACAGTAATCACTGATGTTAGCCAAATCTAAATTAACTTTAAAAGAAACTTCATCAACCTTTGATGGATCGAAACCAAACACTGAGTATCATCTGCATAAGTTTGTATACTGCAGTGGACTAAACAGTCTTGCAGATCGATCGTATAAATCAGATATAGTAAGGGACCTAATACTGAGCCCTGTGGAACTCCCGTAGGAACTGGCTCAGAGGAAGAAATTCCCTGGTCAGTTTTCACTGTTTGTTGACGATTTAGCAAGTATGACTCAAAGAACCTTAGAACTATATCTGACATTCCATAATGAGATAACTTACTCAGTAGTATCTGGTGATTGACCAGATCAAAGGCTTTCGAGAAATCTAACAGTACCAAGACGGTGTTGATGTGATTATCTAAATTGTGAATGATGGAATCAGTAAGATGTAATAAAAACAAAGTAGTGCTGTAACCAGCTCTGAAACCTGACTGATGTAGAGGAAATAAGTGATTTTGTTCGAAAAACTCCACTAGTTGTGAGTAGACAGCTCTTTCGAGTATTTTTGATAGAAAGCATAATAAGGTAATTGGCCTGAGATCCTAATATTGTTCTGGATGATTAGTTTTAGCTATTGGAATAATAATACCATTTTTCCAACTGGCAGGAAAGTAACCTGTTTCGAGACAGACAATAATAATGTGAGTGATATGGTCTATGGTATCAGGCAAACATAAGCAAACCATATTTAAAGTTAGACCATCAGAGCCACATGCCGTAGACTTAATGTGAGTGATTATATTGACGATGTCTTGCTGAGTAAGGAGTTTAAAAGCAAACAGAGGTGCATCCGGTGTATGGCATCTATCGCTATAAGAGTTAGAGACACTATCAATCACATTTGGATAAGCTGCAGCTGTCTGGAAAATTGAAAGAAAATAATTATTTAAAATGTTAGGCTCAAGGAGACTGGGAGGTATCGCAACATGTTTCTGGGCTACCACATTCATCCTCCTCAGGTGTTTCCAAGCTTGACTACAGTTAAGATTCCCGAAACGTGACATATATGCTTTTTTCTCTCTTCTAAGCGATGCAAGTTCATAATTTCTCAAATCTTTGTAGCTGACCCAATTCTGATCAGATCTGTTATGCCGATAGACAGCGAATGCCTCGTCTCCGAGTTGAAAAATCGTTTTCAAGTTAGGAGTGAGCCAGGGCGCAGCAGGTTTTGTGACACGTACTGTACGTAGCGGAGCGTAGAGATCGAATAGATAAATAAGACGGCCAGTAAAAATAGAGACTTTAATATCCACATCATTCACGAAATAAATGTCATTAAGCTGCATTCATGCAATCTGCGTCTTAAAACTTTGAATATCAATGCTATTAAGATTTCTATATGTTACAAATTTAGGATCTATTTTATTATAACAAACAGAAATATCACAGTATGTGACCCGATGATCACTAACTGAGTCTGCGTTGAGTGTCCCTGACCTTTTGACGATAGTATTGTCACTAACA